TTTGATTGGTTGATTTTAGTTATTGGCCCTCTGACTGCCTGAGTCGTGTGATAAATTATATTATTACCATGTTTTCATGATAACAGTTATTCTGTGACAAGATTGAATTAGTTACATATAAATGAAAAACTGGTTATAATAACTGCAATTCATGAGAATTGATTTTAAATTAGGGTGGTATTGTATTCACTCCATCAATTTAGCCTCGTAATATAACTGCTTTCAAGACTGGAACAACTTGCTTAATGTTAAATAAAAAAATGGTTAGTCTACTTCTGTTATATAAAAGACATCAATAATAAGAGTAATAATTTCTGTTCATTAAATGCCTACTTGTAGAGCCCATTCCAAGTACAAAAAAAAGAGGCAAGCAAAAACTGGGTAATTGTTATAGAAAATGTTGGTTTATAGATAAATGGACCTTGAATTGTTTGTCTCAAGATGTAAGAGTCAGACTAATCAATCATGTGTTGATCTTGACATTTTGATTGCTATATATGTACATAACTGTCAAGCAGCATGGTGTGTGGAAATGTCCAGGCTGAAAAGTTTCAAAAATAACGATAAAATCCTTCATTTCCTAAACATAAAATACAACGGATGTCGTTTTATTTCAAAAGCTACTTATTTGAAACTTTAAACAAACGTTTGCATTCTGATGGGTTAACTTGCATCATACTACCACCGTAATTCTGTCACCTAGAGCATGCCATGTAAATACCTTCCACAATAAGGAAAATATATTAATCCCTTTAAACTTTCATATACTAATAAAGTAACTCTTTCACTCCTATGAATGACCAAGACAGAATTCCTCCTTTCAATATCAATACAATATCAGGAAGACAACTGTTGAGAATACAGAAAATATCAACAAGGGGATTTTAAGTTGATCCAATACCAAATTCTCCAAACTTACATGATAAGAATTGTATGGGAGACTGTTAGGAGAATTACTTGGAAGATCTTGGGAGTGAAAGGGTGAAATTAATCTAATCATCTGAAATGACTCCAAATTGTGATCAAGAAGGTCCTGCAACAGTTACGTTAAAAAGAATCCACTCAAATTGAACAATGAACTTTTAAATAATTCTCTTTATATAATTAGTAAAAACTAAACCCAACACAGTATATAAATATGTAATGGTAAAGCTATGTAAAAAAAGTAATTTTCCAATACTACACATAACACTTACTAAGTAAACCAAGTTTGAGGACTGAACTGTAAGTAATGGACCAAGTTTTTCCCACTCAAATTAATGGCCCAAGCAAAGAGTGCAGGTTATAAATAAGAGCAGAAAAAAAAAGAGTTTCCCTAACTAACACTACAGACAGAGAAAAACAAAGTGAGTAAGACATTTGTTATATATCTGGACTAAAGGAGAAGGGAAACATTTTAAATCAATTGAGAAGACCATACAGTGAAATATTGCCTGTTAAACTGACCAACAATAGTGCATGCACTAACTGGATGACAAAATATATCTACTATTTTCCTACTTAGAGATCAAAGTCTGATGTTCCCAAGTCATAAATATGTCCATATTGTCGCATTCTGCAATGATTTTTGATGCAAAAGGAGACAATGCCATAACTCATTAGCAGAAAAACAACAAATGAAATTACAGAAAGTACAATCAGGGCTGTGAAATCCTGTTTAGATTCTTGTGGAGTTATTTTCAGGAGCTGTTGAACTGCTAATAATGATCCATTGTTTGATGACGGCTGAATCCCAAGTACATGGCACATAAGAGGATAAATGTGAACATTCTCAAAGGGTTCAGAGATAAAGTTTGATTTGAATGCCGGTCCTTGAGCAAGGAAAAAAGGATGCATGTCTGAATACTTGTTATTGTAACCATGGTTTCCATGATAATTCTGTATTTGTGTAATGGATCTGGTAATTATCCATTGATCATCAGCGACAATCAAAATTGGCATGACACGTCTGTTATGTTTATAATGGAATTCCTCTGGAATTTCTTCCTTAAGGTAAACATTAAGATGTGGGATAACCTTGAGCTTTTGGTAGGTCTTGCTTAACATGCCATCCTCAGGTAAAACATGGAAATAAACATCTGATCCGTTTGATCCTCCAGGCCACGTGACAAGAGTGTACCAGTCAGATGGTACAAACTTATCTAGTTCAATGATGCGAGAGCTGTTTAGTTCTGCCATTCCATGATCACTGGTGATAATCAGGTTAACCTTAAAGAGAAAATATCTATTCATCTTGGTGTGTTAATGCTGAGGGCCAGTTATTTACACAAGATCTAACCCCAACTGGAATTTTATGGGTAAAATTGAAGAACAGCTCCCCAAAATATAAGTTGGCTGACTTTCGGCCAACTGTTGGCCAACAGTCGGCCGAAGAAGAAACAACAGACGGTTGCCGAGACCATATTCAGAGAATTCCATTCTTGAACAAACTGAAATGAACGTAAAAGTTTCGAAACAGAAACCTGTTTCAATGCAGCTTTGCCGTCGAAAACAATTCCGAGATAACCAGAGAGTAAGTCAACAGTGAGTCGCTAGAGGAAAAATAGAGAGAATCTCTTTAATGGAGAGCTCAAGATGTCAGTGAAACACACAACGATGGGCCGTTACACTCCGAAATATCTATGGCTGGACAAGAGATTACTTTACTGGTTTACAGGGCAGAGAAACCAAGGTAAGTTTTCTTTTTACGTGATCGCAAATTTCAACACTGTAACATGTGACGAGTTTGTTTACCAATCGTGGGAGTGGGAAATTCTGATTGGTAAGTTTCAAAATTCTTAAAACACTTTCACAAGATCCATAAACTTGTTCAAAACCTGCAGAATCTTTAATTACTCTAGACGGCATGGAAGATGAAACAATCTATTCAGAAGAAATGGCAGAACTAGCGGATGAGGAGGAGATGGACGACAAATTCCAAGTCGACACTGAGGACAAACAGTAAGCCGTATTTACTACGCACCAAAAACAACAAACCACACCTTTGGAAGCAACCACATAAATCAAGTCAATGACCAACTTCACCTTGTTTTGTTATTTACTTCTGCATGCAACATCTCGGCTTATAGATGAATATATCTATGTTTCCTTTGAATTTGCTGTTTCGAAAAAATTATGTTTGGAAAAACAATCGGCTATAAGCCGAGAACCCTTCTCTGGCTCAAATTTTCGAGATTTTGGTAAAATTTTGTGAAAAAATCGCTTGGCTTATAGATGAATAAATACGGTAGGTCATTCAAAAGTTACAGTAAAATGTAGAGCAGAATCCCGATTTAATGATATGCGATTCAACGATATTCGTTTGTATGGACTAAATCTAAGTAACTAAACTCTTCAGAGGAATGAAATGTGTCAGTCAGATAATACACATCAAGTTCCCATAAATGAAGATCAATATGGCCAATAATGAGGTTTGCCATGCATTATTGGGCGATTAAGACACTCGTGCTCGAAATTTACCTTTATCGTGTGGCGTTCGTCAAAATTCATTTTGAGATAATTTTGAAAGTTCAAACTTACCTATTTACTCGTTTCTGAATTCGTTTTCCTTATGTCGGCCAACTGTTTATGAACTGTCGATGAGCTGTTGGTAATCTGTCGGTGAACAGTCAGCCGACAGTTGGCAAACAGTTATTTTGGGGAGCTGTTCTTCAATTTTACCATTTTATGCAAGCAGTGGGCCTTACTCTCTCCATAAGAGGGTTGCTTTAATTACTGAATCATTCATAAAGATCATAAAAATTAAGGAAATGATTGCCAACCTAAGAAGCTTTGATTGTTAAATGAATTCTCCTTGTTAGTACGAAATGAAATGTATACAAATGAGTATGGAGAATATGGGCACAAGCATTAGGGTATTACGGGTCAATTATTTTAAATCCCTCTAATGAAACTTCTCTTTACAAAGTTAATAAGTCATCTAACAATTTGTGAGGAGGATACATCAAATTATCAGTGGACTTGTATTATGTTGATACATCACCTAAATCTCTTAACTAATTTGAGAGAAAATGTGGCAACAGGACAGGAGAATTTAGTGATTGGATCCTGGGAATCAGAACTGAGTGGAGTACAATTCAAGGTGTTAACAGGCTGGTAATTTTAAATCAGCTGAATGCACACCCTTGAATTGAACAACATGAAATCCCATTACCAATAAATTGTCTCAACAAAGAAATATGACAAAGTAAGTCACAACATGTTTAATGTTAGGGCAAACATCTTGCCAAATCGACCAGGGCTGCATTAAGATGATTCCTCAACATTGCACTGCCCATCCTGTATTGTGCAGAATTAAGCATGTGCACATTCTGAAAACAAGGTATTGTTTTTCAATCAATGGACCAAGTAAACAGGTAAGATGGTCTTTTGCTCTTGAATGAGCACTGTGGCCTATAATTTTTATTGAATAATTTGGGTGTCCTAATTATCCCCCTTAAATTTGAGAAATTAGAAAAATTCCTCGAAGGGAAGAAATGGCTGAAAGGACAATAACGTATTCTCGAACTAAATTATTTAGCCAGCGAAAGTGAGAAAGCCAATGATAAAGTGTCATCATTTGACTCCTTGGATTTTCGCTGGAGACTAAATGATCTTTTTATAAAAGAAAGGAGTAAAAAAATCAAAACAGTCGCTTGAGTTTACGATTTGAAGTTTGAAGCGGCCGTTTGAACCGAAAAATTCAGTGCTGTGATATATTCGCAATAATTTCTAAAACAAGTATTTGTAAGCGCAACACAGCACAACGTAGTATAAACAAAGTAACTCTTTACTAAGAATATTCACGCCACATTTGTACAATGCACATGAAACCTTACCTGGTCCGACAAACCTCGAGTTTGTAGACTTTTCAACAGATATCCAGTCACGTTATCCACTCTGCGTATAACTGTTAGGAGCTCTGGCGAATTTGGGCCAACCTTATGACCAGTATGGTCCGGCTCGTGAAAGTACGCAGCGAGAAAACTAGGAGGGTCATCTCCTTCTAATTGATCGAGCAGGTAATCCACTCTTTTCTCGAAAGGAAATTCCCTGTCGTACTTCAAAAAATGCGTAGGCGTTTGCCCTTTTACTTCTGACCCTGGCCAGAAAACGACAGCACTTTTTTTCAAGGCCTTCTGGTTCGTTATCCAAATAGGTTCACCACTCCTCCACCATTTAATATCTAGGTAAGAAGGCGAACCAATATAAAAAGTTTCGTTGAAAACAGGATCGTACATGTTATTCCCGATGATTCCATGGCTTTCTTCATAAAATCCTGTCACAATCGTATAATGATTTGGAAATGTCTTCGTGACAAAAGTATTAATAACATGTTTGGCTTTTACTCCATTTCGTACCACGGAATCAAAATTAGGAGTTTGAACTTTGTCTAAGTAGTCCCAACGAAATCCGTCGAAAGAAATCAGAATCACGGTCGGTTGCGTGAGCGTGATTTTCTTATTCACTGAGGCGAATGCTTCCTGACTGGGTAGAAATAAAAACAAAATAAAAACGTGAAAAGGTCCAAATTTCATGACATCGAAAACTGGAGAATGAATGATTTGTTACATTCCCAGTTCCAGTAAGTTTTTCCGGAGATGACAGCTGTCGACTTCGGCTCTCCAAGGAGTCTGGTAATTTATACCAAGCTACCGCTGACTGACTACACGACAGGCGGGTTCTGGTTAGTTGCCTGGCAAACGGATTTTGCAAACGGGCAGTAGACTACAGCCAAAACTCAAACTTTACATTCTTGGTGAATTGCGATTGACTTATCTCTATACGAGTCTAAAAGTAACTGTTTTTGTTTGTTTGTTTGTTTGTTTTTTTTTCAAGAAAAGTAAAATGCTAAGAATCACCTTAATTTATAAATATATAATTACCGTACCTATGCTATATTTCGTGTAATTGTGTCTGTGAGAGTTAATAACGAGCGGAACCACTCTCTAAAATCTCGCCAATTATCTCTTGCTCGCTCATACATTTGTTTCCTTTGAGACGAGAGCCTTGCATAAATTACTGAACCATAAGTTGGAATGAATTGGTATTGTGCTAAAGCACCTGAATTACGTTTCTCCGCAAGGGAGAATGAGCCACGCGTGTAGTCAAAAGTTTTTTTTTTTTCAGGTACAGCTGGTTTCACCAAGGATGAAGAGATAGCATACAGTTAAGAATAAGAAAAATCAATCGTTTATTGCAAACCAAGAGAGAATCCTCCCTGATGTAAATATATTCCTGAAATCACAAGTTGCGCATGGCAACACACTTGTTTCAGGTAACATTTTAAACCTCAGTGTTCATATATTCCTAAAGTCTCTCCGAGATGTAATTTAAATAATATGATTTAAATTATAATTAAAATGACCTTAGATTCATACTTGACTTTCTACGCAGCTCATGGCTCCTTGATGCAATAAAATGTGGTATAGCAGCTTACGTGGGTTAAGAATGTCTAAGAATCGTTTAAGAGTAATTATTAATTATATCCCCGTTGCGTCTCTTTACACAAACGAGAACAGAGCGCTTTTCAATGGAGTGTAATAGAATCACGGCGGCCAATCGGAACGAGATAAACCTTTAAGAAGAAGCCGATAAGGGCTCAAGGTTAACACTGGTAATCGGCTCTAAGCGATTGGCTGAGATGCGGGATTCTGGACCAATCAGAGTAAAGCAAACATGACGCAAAAAGACTTTGAAAATTGCTCCATTACATGCGAAAACAAGTACTTAAGTGTCGATCAAACGGTGCGTTTTCCTTTCTACATAAAGGAATTAAACGGAAGTCACCACTGTCATTCTTAAGTAATCTATGCAAACATGTTAGGAGTCAAACTTTGTCTAACGGACATTTTCAAATCAAAGGTGAGAATTCCACAGCTCACGAACTAAAGTAACGTAATCCTCGCAAATCTTGTATGGCCGAAGAGAACTTCACGAAAATTCTGATGAGCCAAACTCGTTCCGAAGCTTCCATATGTCGTAACAAAAAGGTACACCTTGGCAACGAGTTACATATAAATAATTTCACGTAAAAGTCTAAAAATGAAATAAAATTTCTATAATTTTGTCGTAATAAATTTGACTTGTAAAAAGCCACTCATATTATTGGAAAAAAGTTACTTGTATATAATTTCATGTGATATTCTTAACATGTACTAAAATTTTTGTAATTTTGCCGTGATAAATTTGACCTGTAAAAAGGCACTTATATTACGATAACACTATTCAAAGTAACTCTCAAGCTCTTAAGAATTATCAAATTTTAAATAGCTAAGAGGCATGCTAATTCTCTACTTCAAAAGTAAATGAATAGGCCCCGTTCAAAATGCGCCGGATACATTTGAAAACGAAACTTCCCTCCTCTGGTCAGGTTTACGATCCAGACTAATGAGGACAAAGCGTCCACTAAGAACGGTGCAAGTTCTTTAAACTAGCCAGATTTTAAAACGCCAGGATCGTGTTTAAGTGTGACCGGGAAGCATTTTAAAACGGAACTTTTCGAAACACTGACGTCACTGCTTTTCGCGGGATAATTGGGCTCTCACCAAAAATATGCTCAATGCTGCACCTAGCTAGTCCCTTGTCGTCTCTGAAATGCACGCGGCGTTTGGGTGGGACGAAAAGGGCGACGGGAAAGAGGAAGAGGAGGAGAATTTTTCCTCTCTCGCTTTTTCCCTACCCATCACACATCGCTCTCCCATCCTACGCCTGCTTTGAGGGCGACTGGGGATGAGTAAGATGTCGGAAATCACGCGGAAATCACATGACGGCATAAAGCTAAAGGAGACCACAAAATTGAGAGTAGGAAGGGGGGCCTAGCGGGAGGGACTGCTTCTGTTCCCTTTCACAGCTCGTTATGTCTCTATTTCATCCTCTCTGTTGGTCTTGTTTTCTTCTCCATGAACAGAATCGTTTATCAAGCTCTCTGTTTGCTCTACGTCCAATCTCCTGGATGTAAGAAGCATTAAAACAATAAACGTTAAAATGATATCAAAATTTGAACTTTCTCTTGATCTTTGTTCTAATTCGTCAAGAGGAAGAGAGAGAGGGAAGTGGATTCGAAGAAACGATAGGGCTAAGGCAATGACCGACGAGTCTTGAGTGCCCATGTTCTCTCCATCATCTTGGTGTTGGTGAAGTTAAAGATCTTCCCCTATCCACTACATTTCATTCCACTTCAGTGAATAAGTGTTTAACAACGTCAGAAAACAGTGCTATTTAGCATGGAAACGGACTTACTTGAGGCCACCTCTTATTTGGGGCTATTTGCGACCCACCACTAATTAAATCAGCTAGTAATCTATTCATTATTCATTATTTATTACTTACTCAACAATGCGTTGCCGTTCGCCATTCAGAAGTTTCTTCAATCCAATCAAGATTGGGTCCCAGTCTCCGTAATGGGATAAAAAGCTCACGGCGAAGAATGACGCAAAAACCGGTATCGTGCCAAATAAGAACATCCATGACAAATGGACCTGCAAAATCAAATTACATCAATATTTTAGACATGGGTGCAGGAGCAGTTCGTATGGCTTTTACTACGGTTAGTAAACTGTCACTGAAGTAGAAGACGCATGAAAACTGAACACAACAGTCAAAGTCGAGCATGCGCAAGGGGATCAATTCTGGCCGCTCGTGCACCAATTTCCCGCACGAAAATTAAAAAAAAAACCGCTCTCTTGCAAACTAAGCGAAAGAAAATTAAAATGTCCATAGAAATCTGTAAACGGAAACAAGAATAGGAAAAAGAAAAACTCGTGACTTTACGAACACAAAGCTCATTCAAGTACAGTTAACCTATTGAATTACTATTCTGTTTTGAGCTATACCAAAACAGTTATACGCTTTAAAAAGAGTGTGAGTCACTGGCTGGTTTTATTGTTTGTAACTCGTATGGGACTACTTGGTTTTGACAGCCTAAACGCATGCTAATTGGTCATTACAACATTCGCACATGCGCAGACGTTTACCGCTGTGTTGAAAATTCAAATTCACTTACTCTCTTCATGAACACGTCAACGATCATGGTCAGCGGTATAATCAAACTCAAAGAAAGTGTAGCTGTTAATGATGACGTCAAGTAACAGCCCCTAATATATCACAAATATAGACTTGTCAGAATGCCAAATATAAAAATTAAGTAACGGTTTGAAAGAGGAAGCACTGGATTATAAAATACAAAACAAGATAACATTACCATCCACAGTGGAACATGACATACATACATGATACAACATGGGATTGCATGCATGACATGACCTCATACCACATCACATGAAATGACATGATATGATGGAAAAGGTCACAACACTTTACTTGAAATGACACAAGACACAACATGACTTGAATTTGAGATAACGTGACATAAAGTCATGTTTTACATGACTTTACATCAGATGGCATGAGACATTAGAAAATGATATGAAGGAATATAACTTCGGTCATGTGACATAAGACCTAACAAGGCACAAGATAAGACATGCAGTCAGCAATATGGCATGTCATGACATCTTACTTGAAATGAAACACGACATGACAGACTTGTAATGAGGTGACATGCATGTAATGATGTTATGAGATGACATGTGACCTGAGAAAACGATACAAAGTGATATGACTGTGGTGATGTGACATGAGACCTGACATGGCAAGAAGTCAGAGAGTCAGTGATATGGCATGTCATGTTACATGACATATCATGAGAGGACACGAGACAATAAAATTGTATTTAACAATTATTCGCCAAAGGCGCGGTGAATATCGTCAAATAATCCCTGAGATGAAGTCGAGGGGATTATTAGACAATATTCACCGAACCTGAGGCGAATAATTGTTTTAGTATAATTTCAGAGCTGAACAACAGAGAAATTTCTAAAATCATAACATTTTAGTAACATTTATTAACATTTTATTTTAACATTTTATATAAACTGCGTGGAGTGGTTTATATAGCATCATATAAGGAATCGCTCGACCAATCAGATTGCTGGAAACTCTTTGCTCAGCTTGGAAATTATACTAATAATGGATATGACTTCAGTGATGTGATATTAGTTAGACCTGCCATGGCATGAGATAAGAGAGTCGATGACATGTTATTTTACATTGACATGGGACATGTGAAAATGACATGAAGGTAAATTACTTTGGGCACCTAACATTACCCCTGACATGGCATGACATAAAACGGTGAATGGCAGCATGAAATAAAACAAATAATTAAAAAAAATTACCACAGCCACAAGGCCTCTGACAGAACTGTTCCAATAAGGGCATTCAAAGCAATATAGCCCCAAACAGATGTCGTTGGAGGAAGTGTAAATGGTTCAAGTTTCCAATAGTTGAGTATGAAAAATCCAGGCCAAAGAAGAATGAAATTAAACATTCCCACCAAACCTGCAGGAGAGTTGTACAAGATCCAAACAGTTTGCTTGTTAAAGCAATTATCAGTTGAAAGTTGAAAGTATTCTGTGATTACATTGGTTTTGCTTTACTTTGCTTTATGATTGATCCAGAAAATTTCCACCACTGGATCATCAATCAGATGTAAAATAGTCACCAATCACAACATAATCACTGGCATTTTCCCACGCTTCAGACAGTTTGGTTATTTTTATTTTAAGTTCTCATTGGGTCATTAAAATATTCTTCTGATTGGCTGTTAAGGTTACTTTGGTTTGGTTTTCAGACACTCAATAAAAAGTGCTCCATTTCAAACGAACACATACTTGCAATTGGAAAAAAATTATGACAGCATTTTCCACAAAACAAATATGAACAATTACTCTCTTACCAAAAAACATTGGAATGTTCATCTGCTTCTGATCAGGAACTTTACGTTTTAACATGGTTAAATAGCTAGCATACCTAAAAGGTTAAAACAATAAAAATAAAATAGACTGTGCAACAATGAAGTTAATTGTTTTGTTCTGCCTGTTAAAATTCTGCATGATTGTGAACACCTGTGGGCTGCCCATTATCTAGTGTGTGTATGTTTTCATGTCAGTTTGCCTGTTAATAATCTGTGGGATTATCTGTGGGTTTAAGTCTTTGGGAAGGCTCTTATCGGCACTCAATCATTGTGAGCATCTCACAGGCTCTCATGAAGCCCGTGGAAGGTCTATGAGCTGTATGGCTTGTGCCAGAACACTGGTGGACCCCTTGCCAGCATGCACAGTAGGTGAATATGACACTAGTGGATTTTGCAGAAAGCATGAGAGATGTTCAAGCACCAATTATAGGAGGTTGCCTGCATGCTATTTGTGTGTTCTGTGTACTAAATCTCAGCCACACTTACAAGAATGCACTGGCCAAGGCCCACAATGCTCCAACACTGACTTCGCCTTTCTTTTTTCTTGAGTCGGCAAGTGTAACCAGTACTATACCAGTAACACTAGAAACAAAAAAAATCAAAGCTCTGTTATCATGATTATTATGACTTGCTACAGTTAGTCAGCAGAACCCTGCTGACTCAAACTCCTGGAGGAAAACAAAAATGGTTTGAATTAGTGGGGGTTTGAGTCGTTGGTGTAGAATTTAGCATTCTCTGCATTTTATTTTGGTTCATTAGCGTTCCTTAGGGAATACGTTTTGTTTTTCTTTCCTGCGTTCGGTATAATTTACATGTAGTTAATATTCTAGGTTTTTAGTTTCATTGTTGATTTCATCGAGAGAACATGTTGTCTTAAGAGAACATCTGGTTTAGAGTTACCTTTTCGCGGCCTACAGCGCCGATACAATGTAACTTCCTAGTTATTATGTTCATCGCGTTCGCTTTAGCCGCCTTTCAGATTTATATTTCTGCATTTTGTAAGCTTGTAGTTTTTGTTGGTTCTTCATTAGTTCAAACCTCTCCCTCCGATTGAGCGTTTGTAATCACTGCTGTAAGTGGCCACGAAAAGACTCACCTTTTGGCAGTAACAATTGGGTTTGGTGTTGAATTTAAATTATACTGTTAAGAATTAATGAGGAACAATGTTTTTACAATTCTCACAAATTAACAGTCATTCTAATTTGAACATTAAATATGTTTTACAGTCTATACCACACAGAACAGCAAGTTTCAGAAGTTTAGCTAAATGCAGGGATTTCATTAATTTCGGAAGTATAGGTGTATATTAGGACATAAGCAGGCGAAGACAGTTCAGCAGTAATCAAGGCAGGTTTGTCACCAGTCTTTCTCTTCTGTCCATTCATGGTGTACAGGCAATGGATCGTGTTGTTGATCGAATTGTTAGAACTCCTTACAAAAATCACCCAAAAACCAATAAGGAGACAAAATATCAACAAAAAAACCTTTACTGATGACTGTCTTAAGAATATATTGAATGATTTCCAAAAAGACAGTCATGCAAAAAACTGGGAGGTGGAATGGTCATAGAAGCCAGCTCTGTTGCGGAGAGTGGTCACTGGAATTTACTAGTTGCCGGCTTCTGATGAAATTCCCGTAAATGTATTATGCTTTCTTAAATGTATTATGCTTTATTATTCTTAAAATGTATTATGCTTTCCACCTCCCGGTTAGCTCAATTGGTTAGAGCGCTGAACTGTTGTGCGGG